TGTGTGTGTGTGTGTATGTGTGTGCATATCACATCTTCTTTATCCATTCATCCCGTCAAAGGACATTTAGGTTGCTTCTGTGTATTGGCTATTTTAAATAGTGCTGCTGTGAGCATTGGGGTGCGTGTATCTTTTTGAATTAGAGTTTTCTGTGGATATATCCCAGGATTGGGATTGCTAGATTATACGGTAAGTCTTTTGTCACTTTTTAAAGAACTCTCCGTACTGTTTTCCCTAGTGGCCGCACCAGTTTACATTCCCACCAACAGTGTAAGAGGGTTCCCTTTCTCTCCACACCCTCTAACATTTGTTATTTGTAGACTTTTTAATGATGGCCATTCTGACCAATGTGATGTGATAGTTCATTGTAGTTTTGATTTGCATGAAAATTAATTTTAAAATAAGGAATAAGTCCTTAACCATACTGGATTAAAAAAAAAGAATGTCACTAGGAAAACAGAAATGTTTATATATGTCTAAAAGATAGAAATCTGACAGGATTGAATTGAGGAGGGAAATCTGGCTCAAAGGTAGACACCAGATATAATGACCGATATGAGCAAGATTAGTTCTTAAGACTCTTATAACTCATAATTAATTAAAATTACAAGGAATAAGGAGCCAAGGACAATGAGTAGTGTGACTGCTTAGAGATGGAATGTAGAGCAGTCAAGCAGGTTGGCCCTGCTTCCACCCCTCCTACACAAATACAAACATTCACGCGCGTGTGCGCGCGCGCACACACACACACACACACACAGACACACAGCCAAGCAGTAAACAGTTCAGCATCTGCTTCCAGGCTGGAGAAGTCCGCATGGATAACTGGGTCACAGAGGCAATACAGTCTTCCAGGTGGCTGGCAACACCCAAAAGGAATGGAAAAATCCTAACAGAAACTACTGGAAGACTGTGCTAGTAGGTTCCAGCCCTCTCCACTGCAGCAGTGGAGGCGGGCGGGAGTGCATTTGAAAAGTGTCTGCAGTCAGGGAAAGAGGAATTCTCAAAAGCAAATATAAGCCTGCAGTCAAGACTAACAAAACACACAGGGAAGAAACAATTTCATTAAAGAGAGGGACCAACTAGAACAGCAATAAGAAAAAAATGAATAAACAAATAAAAGGCACAGATATTATAAAGAAAGCAAGGAAAGAGTCAATAACTGTAGGTGATATAATTGCCTTTATTGAAAAATTCAAGAGGAGTTAAGTGACAGACTATTCACGTTAATAAGCAAGTTCATCAGGTAGAAGGTTACTGAAGGATTTGCTTATTTATTTATTTTAATGGAGGTACTGGGGATTGAACCCAGGACCCTGAGCATGCTAAGCACTCACTCCACTACTGAGCTATAATCACCCCTCTACTGAAGGACTTAAATAATGCCTGGCACATAGTAAATACTATGTAAGTCTTACTCTTTTATACAGCACTGACCTATAGAAAATGCCAGTTTAAAAAACCATTCACAAAACCTCAGTGTAAGAGGTTTAAAAGAAAATCATGAATGTTACTGAAGAACACAAATGAAGATGTAATAACTGGAACGATAAACTATGTTTAAGAATAGGAAGAATAAATGCGGTAAAGACATTAAATCTTCCTTAATTCTTCTATAAATTCAATGAAATCTTAATCCAAAATCATACCAGAATTGTCCTGTGAAATTTGCAAATCAATCTTCAAATATATTTAAGAGATCAAGTGATCAGCACGGTATGTTAAGAACAACCCTCCCACTTCAAAAAACTAAGAATTCTAGAAATGACATGAAAAAAATCTTTTTCAGGGCATTGCTGAGCTAGCAAAAATCAAAGGAAATGCTCAGAGATTTAACAAAATAAAGTGAAAGCAATGCTCCATGGAAGGAAGTAAAGCCTGAAATTAGGGTCTGCCCTGAGGGGATCTGTCCAACCAGGAGAATCTTGAGCTTCCAATTTATAGCCCATGAGAAAAAAGGACCGGCACAAAACCAAGTACTCACTCAAGTTCACTGGTGAAATCATTAGTCAAGTTGGAGACAAATGGAAACCAACCCTCCCCGCATACGTGCACCTGGAATACAAGAAGGCTACACTCTCATTGTCAGAGCAAACTGCAAACAAACAAATGAAAACCCAACAAAACCCAAAAAACTCCCCTCCTCAGAAAAAGGAACAGCAGATTTATTATAGGTTTCAACCTTGGAAATGAGGGGAGGGAGGGAAAATAATCTCCATTGAGAATTTATAACCAAAGTCAGCCTTCACACACGCTTGCTACCTTTAGTCCTCCAAACTGCAACCCGAGAATTTGTTTTGAAGCCTTACCGTCAGTTGCCTCTAAAAAGCAAAGAAGAAAACCTCTGTGGAAGAAAGTAACTTGAACACAGATCCTAGAGAACATCCATAGATAAAAATGCTCAGAACCGAAGAGTTCCGTGAGAAATCTCACACACACACACACACACACATACACACCACGCACAGCACGCATGTGCACGAGTGAGGAACTGGGTTATCACAAGTAAAAACCAGTGGAAACAAAAAGCAATCATCTGCTACTTTTTTTT